AGCCACAAAGCAAGAATTTTATGACGTCAGCAAGTCGCAACTATCGCCCAAGCAAGAGGCTCCAATCCAGCTTCCCTCTGAAGACGTCGACGCTAGCAGAAATGTGGAATCCCCTTCAAAAGACTTTTCGAGTGCTCTTCTACGTTCTGACTACGTTGGCAGCAAAGACGATGATCAATTTTTCTCCCGTTCATTTGGTAGTATGGAATTGACAAAACAAGAACCCAGCCCCAGTGCAGAAGGACAGGTCTTCGATGTAGTGCCTAGACCTGGGCCTGCGTACTATATTGATCTTTCCAATGATTCTCCTGAAAAGGCGCCATCTACCTTGCACATTTCACCCAGCCCGCGGTCAATGAGCATATCTCCTGAAGAAGTGATTAATACACCTCCCCCATCAGAAAATCCCGTCCAGGTGGATGGTGTTGCGTGTTTTGATGAGCCCGAAGATACTCCAACCCGTCAGTCATCACCGGCTAAGTCAAGTGACATGGATTTGGATTCATCTTGCGATTCTCCCGGCAGCACTCCAAAGAAAGTTCGAGAGAGCGTGTTTAAGAAGTCTTTTAAGTTGTCTTACGATGGTCATACCTCACCTTTGGCCCAAACAGACCAAGATCGAAAGCGGCCGTTAGAAATTCCCAAACCACATGTCCCTCCGGCTCCTGAAAAGTACTCCCCGCTTTCCTTTACCGATACCTTTATAAAACAGACCAACATTGTGCGAAATACCTACTCAACTCCCATAAAGTCACCCTCGATTAAACTCGTCTCGCCCGTTTCCAACAAACCGACCACCGAAAAGCCCACAGTGGTTTTGGGTGACTCTAGTGCAATTGTTCCTACTCCTTCCTTGACTCTGCCGAAATCTGCCGTTATTGATAGCGGAGGGTCAGGCGTTAACGTAGCCTTTGGACTAGAAGGGCCGGGATGCGGTATGCGAGTGGGTCAGGAAGCGCCCCCTTGCAAAGCGCTCTTTGACAGGAACTCTCCTCGATGTGACACTGATTTCAACACAGACGTCAGAATATCAAACCCTCTTCTGCGCTCCCGCTCACCACAGTTTTCCGGTGAGTCACCACCTCCAAAACGACCAGTACCTGACTTGTCTACCATAGGCCATACACCCGTCGGAGACCTGCAGGGAACAGACTCGGTCCCACCTATACAGAATCTAGAAGGCTGTACCGCGATTTTGCCGTGTCCAGACGCATTTTTTCCTCCTTCATATGCTCCAACATCACCAGGTAATTCCCGTCTGCTACCCTACGGTCGGTCGCTCTCCACGGGAAATAGCCTAGATCCACCCCCCTCCTGGAAAGATCGGGAAATGGTAATGGTACCATCCACTGCGAATTCGCTCCTTATGCCTCTCACGCCGGCTGTGCGGTTGACCCCTGATAGTTCTACTGACAAACCCTTGGGCTTTGCCGACATCGACGCACGGGTTCTTCCTCCCGCTTTTAATGATTCTCTGGGGACCCCAACGAAAGACGAACCTGATAGGAGTAATTTAGAGAGCTTAAATAATCCCACACAAATTCAAGAGTTGGGTTGCCGAGTCCCTCCGTTTGGAGGCG